CAAAAATTTTTAACCCAGGATATGTCATAAAGGCTAGGAAAATTCCATGATAGGAAGGGCCTTTCAAACGTGGTAATGATGTTGTGAGGAGTAAAGCCTGGAAAATCACAAAATAGCAAAATAGCAACACTCTACCTAATCAATAGTGTAAGTCTCTAGAACATCCTCCAAATCAATATGATATACAATAATGACAAGAATGCACCTGAGAATAAATAAAAAAAAAAAACCAGCAGATTGCAACACATCCCAAATCCATTATCTGAAGTGAAGTATATTAAAAGTACATTTAATACAAGAGTGTGATCGGTCTTCTTAACTTCAACAGCAGTGGCAATAATAAAGTGTACCTTAAAAAGTCATAACACTCCAGAAACCCCACAAAACTAGGGAACAAATAGTTTTTAGGTCTCAGAACACTCCAGGACTTTCTGACAGTACACATTTCGTTTTGTACACGTGTGACTTCGTCCAGTTAGAAACCCAATAAACTGTAGAGTGGAAAAAAAAAACTTAAAACTATGTTTTAATTGTGGAGTTCAACAGCTACTGTTGAAGTGGACATTATATGTCTATTTTTCACTCAAAGAAATAACCACGCAATGGTACATTATTGAGAATGGCATGATTCATCAAGCAGCTATTAGAACCTTTTCTGCTGTTGCGTGATATGCTCAAGGAACCTAGGGACAACTTTTAAAGACAAGAGGCAAATAGCACATTGAGAATCAGCAACGAACCAGGCTCTGGCTGGTGTATCCTCAGTACAAAGGAAGTCATCCCAGCCCAACAGGCTGAGAGATATGACCTCCACTTCACAGACCATTATCCTGACAATCAGCATTGAACAACCTGCTTGCACGATTTAAATGTCAGAGATGTATCAGTACTGCAAACAGTCTAGCTAAAGGCCTACATCTTCGCCATGTTATGCTGCCTCCCTTAGCTACCACATGTTTCCAGTTAGACTGTGTTTTAGTCAATAAATGCCTTAAAAATGGAATACATTTGAGAAATAAATAGCCTTTTAAAAATTGAAAATATTGAACATTTTTTTCTTAAAGGCATACTTTTTTTTGTTATCCCTCCAGGTCAAGCTTGTACTATGTCTGACACAAACTCCATATCAAAATAACTTTATACACACACACACACACACACATACACACACACACACACACACACACTCACATGAAGCAAGACCTATAAGCTTCATCTTACAATCTTCTCTGGACAGACAATTAAAAAAAAGTTGTTGAATTACTATATACTTATTGAGATGCATTAAAATTCTGAAATAACCCTCAAATTCAGTTCTCTGTACTAATGGCAACGGCTTAGAAACTACTCATTTAGAAACCCCTTGGTTTCTAATGCCCTCGCCTTCAGCATTATACAGCAGTGAGGTTTCAGAAAGAAGGACTGGGAACAACAAAAAATCACCTCCACCAACATGAAGACTGACTGCAATTACACATCTATGCAGTGTGGTGTGGGATTCCTAATAAGTTACCTAACGTCTAAATAGAAGCCGTGGCTTTGGTTTGTGAAGTATTTGCAATCTCTTATACACCTGTGAGCATAATTTGAAAATACTATTTGTTAGAGGTCCTTTTGCGACCTCTCATCCCATCCGTTAATCTTAAATCAACAGTCCACCCCATCTTGCAACAATGAAGGCCGTCCTCTGTGCATCTCCTGAAGGAAGAGCACTGCACTGAGATCTACGTGCAGACAGCGACTCCGTTCTCAGGACCCAAGCAGCCCTGCCGGCGTGACTGCATCTGTGCTCTTTGCTTCAAAGGGGTCAGTCCCATAGAGCGCAGTGGGAAGGGTGCCTCAAGCAAATGGGCAGCATCTAACCCGCATGGCCTGAATACAGACACTATTTCATCCCTAGAGGACAGAAACTGAAGCCACTGAGGCTTAGGATGTTTGTGTCAGTAGCAGAAATGTCAGAAAAGGACATCTTAGTCATCGTGACAAGCTTCATCCTATGCTTTCCTATAGAATACTATTCAATCATGACATCTTAAGATGTGGGCTGTGACCCCTTTGGAGTTAAACAACCCTTTCAAAGGGGTCACATATCAGATCTCCTGCACATCAGATATGTACATTACGATTCAAAACAGTAGCAAAAATCACAGTTATGAGGTAGCAACAAAATAATTTTATAGTTGGGGGTCACCACAACATGAGGAACTATATATTAAAGGGTCAAAGCATTAGGAAGGATTTTCCCAGTCCTTCTTTCTGAAACCTCACTGCTGTATAATGCTGAAGGCAAGGACATAAACCAAGGGGTTTCTAAATGGGTAGTTTCCAAGCCCTTGCCATTAGAACAGAGAACTGAATTTGTGGGTTATTTCAGAATTTTAATGCTTCTCAACTGCTTTAAGATAAATATATACAAACAATTCAAGGCAAAAAGTCAAACCCACAAATTCTCTAGATTAGTAGCAAGTTATCCAAATAAGAGCTACAATCAGAGTCTGTGTTCTCAAGAATGTTTCAAAATAAACAGAACCTGGGAGAAGTATGAGGCTCCGAAAAGATGCCAAATTCTCAAAGATCAGTGCTCTGCAGAGGTTCCTCTCCCCTGACCCATGCCCATCTAAGTCATGCCTGACTAATGCATTTGAGACATGCCATGCAACGGCCAACACCAATTACCAGACTGTCTCCTAAAATGAACTTGCAGGTATAGAGAATTAATCCGTCTCTCATTCAGGATCAAGGCTATAATGAATCTGAACCTTAGTTGGAAATAACCGTTAAAGATGTTTAACATTTGCCTCGTGTATTAATTTTCTGTCACTAAAACAAACACCTTAGATAATCTCTTTATCAAGAGAAAATGCATATTTTGCCTTATCATGGTGTCAGAGGTCCCTATCCATGACTGGTTGAATTGGGCGGGGGGGGGGGGGGGGGGGGGGGGGGGTAGAGAACAAAACACATCACAACAGGGCCACGTGGTAAGATACAGCAGCTCACCTATGGTCACGAAATGAAAGAGGTGGGGAGAACAAAGTGTGGAGGAATGACAATTCCCTCGAGGACATGCAACCAGGGTTTGAGGACCTCTCCTTCGGCCCACCCACCTCTAGAAGGTTCTACTAGCTCCCGATAGCACAAGGCTGGGGACCAACTCTTTACCATATAGATTTTATGAAGATTGTTACATACAGACAGGCGTGGTCATCATGTATAGCTTGGTTTCCAACTACCCCTAGACCGAGAGTCAGTGCTTCTGCAAGCCTAAACACAACTCCGGTCTTAAAGGCAAAGCCCTATAGAATATAATTGTACTCCAAGGTATTTCTATGTGACGCTGAGTATGTTTTTTGTAAGAACAATCCATCAGAAAGTCTATACATTAAAAAGTTCTACGTTGGCACAGTGAAGATAGGAGTTGGTGTGAGACCTCTTCTATTTCTTTGATTTTTTTTTCACTCAATATTCATTAAGTACCCATTCGAAGTCTAATCACCAAGTTTAGTATTAGGCAAGAAATATATTGAAATAAATAAGAAAATGCACACACACACACACACACACACACACACACGGGGTAATAATAAAAGTTTATTTTAATTTTAACAAACAAAGAGTCCTCAAGTCACCAGGGAAGAAGGAAAAATCAACTGTAAATGGAGAATGATAACAAAATAAGGACAAAATGCTTATCAGAGGGATGAGTTCTGTCTGCACATGAAACAGAAAATTAAGGGAAGATTCATAGGGGGGAAAAACAGACTGAAGGGTCTTGAAGGGCCAGTTGGAGTTTGCTTGGCTGAGACGTTGAACAAACTACTGTTTGCTTTGTAATTAACTAGAAATGTACGAGTGGAAATGTTTTCAAGCCCTCGGTACACTACCACTTTGTCCTGTCTTGATTATATTTTCTTTGGTTTTAAATTATGTAATCAAAAAATATTCAACAAACTGTTATTTGGACAACAGTGGAATCTCGGCTCAGATAGATGCTACTGCTATTTTTAAACTGTGTTTCCAGGACAATTAAAACATCAGACACAGTATCTTGACTTTCCAACCGTTCATGAGAAGAGTAGGGATTCTTTCCTTCAAAACGTGTGTTGCAAAGGTCACAATTAAATTAAACACCAACCTTTATTAAAATCAAGTGGATACTTCCCGAGAATGAGATTCCTTCCCCGAGCTGGTGGCAGATGGCAAGTGGTTCATTGAGTTCCACATTGTCGCACCATGGTAACGCAGAAGCCATGATGGAACGCAAACTCACTGCTGTAACCTCTGGGCTCTTTCCCAGAAAACTCCAAGAGCTGAACTACATGTTCAACAACATTGTGGAACAGCTCTGAATTATCGCTCTACAGCTAGCTGCCCCCAAACCTAAACTAGTCCTTTACCGAATAGCACAAGAGTGTGCCCAGGTGCCAATTTCTTCTTCAGCTTAATGTAGAATAAATGTCAATAAAATATATACTGCATGGGGGCAGGGCCAGCAACGCATGTTACTTAAAGCTACTGCATTGGTTACAGTGATTAAAGTTCATAAACTTGACCAAGGATGACTCCAGGGCCGTCCTGAGCACGGCTGCTCTGTTATCTCCTCTGACTTATCAACAGCCTAGCCAACCAAGTAAGAAACATGTTTCCCCAAAGTGTGGCTGCTCTGATGCTCATATAAACCTCTAGCCTTTTGGCAACAGATATGTGAACTCGGTTCCTCTGATCGGAGCTCCCACTCAGAAAAGTGGTCAGAAGGCATTGTTCCACTCTGCTTTCTCACGCTCACTACAGCTTACATACAGCTGAAACCAGAAGTTTAACACCAGAGGAAATACTGACCAAAGTCCACTTGCTGATCATTCAGTAAAGCTGCTTCCCCAGAACGGCTGGCATTCACCTTGCTAACAGAGACCCTATCTTATAAACTGTAATGCTTGCTGGATGTCTACCTGGACACTTGCATTTCTGACCTTAGCCGAAGGCTGAAGTCACGCACTTACCCCATCCGAACCTAGAGGCAACGATCTCTTTATCGTCCAGTTCCAAATCTTCAAATTAAAACAGCAACAAGAGCGGCGCAGAATGGCTATTTACAGACTACATGTTTCTTCATCTGCACCAAGGAGCTGGCAAGACAGGGTGCTATATCCTGGTAGGAAATGATACAAGTGATACATGAGCGATGTCTAATGACTCCGTCATTGCTTCAGACTCAGACACAAAGGGAAGGGAACCGAGAGTTGAGGATGAAACTTCATCTCCTCTAACCCTACTGTGACTGTGCACCACGGTACGTATTAATGTAACATCAAGCCCTATTTTTAGACCTCTGCAATTCCAAGAGGCATAAATCATTCCTGTGCCACCAGTCACCTTTGCCTTAGCAATGCGACGCTCAACATTTTGCAGGTTCCTGCCACAATGTAATGGGGAGCAAGTGATATTTAAGATGAATACTTAAAGCGTTCATAGATTAAAAGTTAGCCTGAAACAGATTGTCCACTGGACGAGATGGAGTAATAATTCTAAAAAAGTGATACACTTCACTTCTCCCCGCCAATAATCCCGGCGTCTTCACAATAGCTCTCACAGTTGAATTTGGAAAGCGGGTCTTCTGCAGAAAACAGAAAATGCTAATGACATGGTCTTGCTTTCTGTTTTTTTGTTTTTTCCTCCCTGCTCTGTTTTTGTTTGTTTGTTTTGTGGTGCAGAATACATCTAATCCTTTGTGATTTTAGCCACTGGGCTTCTCTCAGAAATGCACATCTGATTAAAGAAGGTGAGAAACAGAACAACCACAGAACACACCCACCCACCCACCGGTCAAGGTGCTATTTTTACAACAAGCCGTGTCCGTTATTATGGAAAGAGAATTAAAAGGGAAATCTTCCACACCTGGGAACCCTCTCCATAGAGGTGATAAAAAAAAAAAACAAAGAAAGAAAACATTTTTATTACTGAATAAGCATGAAACCAGCATGTAATATAAATACATCCAAGTAACGGCCAGCAGATACAAAGACCAAACGTTATCTCATATTGCTCTATGCCAGGCAAATACCTGTAATTATGTACAGTTTCAAGATAAGCAATAATAAGTCCTCAAGTAAGAAGCCCGGCTGCACCACTTGTCACACACATTTCTTCCCAAATGTACCTGGTGACTGGGGTGGCCATTTGCATTAGATAACCCAGTGGTCCTCAACCTTCCTATTGCCACAGCCCCTCAATACAGTTCTTCACTGTATGATTGTGGTGACCTCCAACCATAAAATTATTTTCATTGCTACTTCATAACTGTCATTTTACTCCTGTTAGGAATACCAGCATAAATATTTCCGGTAGTCTTAGGTGACCCCTGTGTGGCCCCTAGGTAGAGAACCACTGAGCTAACTGGCTTTATGGGGAGTAGAGCCAAGCTTCTCATATCTCAGTGACAGGAAAGAGCCTTGGAATTTGAATAAGCCCTGCCCCTTGGGTTTTCTTGGCTCTGTTTAGATGCCTATGCTCCCAGAGAAACTCGGAGTCTGGGATGCTGTCTCCCTTGAGGCTTATATTTCAAAGGGATGGCTTCCAGACCCTGGAGGAAGACATCCCTAAATCCTAAAGCTGACAAAGGACCCAAAGGAATTAATAAACATTTCAAAGACAGGAGAAAGTACTTACAATTATACGTTCTCTGAGGTAGAGACTAAAAGACTGAGGGAGGAAATGCTGCTTTCTTTGTAACAGGAAGAACTCAGCCTCTTATTTTTAATTTTTATGAGCTTTTTACTCCACATCGGTCAGTGTGATTATCATAATGCAAACTCTTTTACAGAGGACATGTGACTACTGCATGTCCCTAAGAGAGGGGGAAAAAAGCAAAAAGAGCTAACCTAAAATGATAATGGTTCCTCCACCAACAAATCAGCACAAATTAATATGTCATGCCAAACCACATACATTATGGGCTACAATGATTATTGATAATACAGTTCACCAGGGGAAAAGCAAATTCTTAATAAGCCTTTGTTTTCCTGCCCATGTGACAGGGATGACGATTTCATTTTTAATTTGTTCAGAAGTTAAATTTATAATGATAACCAAAGGGAAACAATTTGCTCCCTTGTATGAGATTATCTATATAATCATTAGCCATTAAAAATGTATTATATTGAGTACAAGGGAGCATTCTGCGCTCGTCTAAATAATGCATGTCACCTGACAAAATGCGAAGCGCACAGCAGAGATCAGCTAAGTGAGTCAACGTACCAAAATTCCAAATAATCCTACGGTTGGGCGCGCCATTGGCTGATGGCGCATTCCAGACACGCCGTTCAAACTCTTTAATGAGCTTTCTACCTATATACCGCGGTTTTCCACCAAGAGCTCTGACAAAGCATCATCTAATGTTAGCATTAAGAGGGGTGTGCAATACCAATCAATAGTCAAATAAAGCAAAACCACCAGAAGTCAGAAGGGATGCTGCAGAGAGGAATGTTTTCAAGCGAGCCCTTTAGAGGGCAACCCCCAAAGGGAGCCATTCAGAGGACGCTGCCATTAGTTGTGCTCACACTAGGTCTATGAAGGTGTCCCTATTAAATGAAAAGTAGGCATAATCTTAGTTCATACTAAATATTGTGATTAAAAATAAAGAAAAGAAGAATGATTTGATGAAAACACACGAGTCCCCAGTGCAGATGGTATTGTTGTACCCCTTTCTCGAAACCCCCAGAGACCACCCAAGGCGCTGGTTTCCAATGCAAGCATATAAGGGTCCTTTTATTCAGGTTCAACCTGGGCCACCACACGGCAGATGGAAGGAAATGTGACGGTAGCCACAAGCCCAGGTGTAGAGGGTTTTTATAGGGAAAAAACCATAAGCTGGGAATTGGCAACTTGGCATTGGGTAGAAGGGGCAAGGTGATTTTTTGAAACTATTGGTCTAGACTTTGGGCGCGAAACCACATTTGAAACCATTGGGTTAGACTTTTGGCGGCGAACCACAACCCGATGAACAGGATTATCTGGACTGCTCAGCAGGATTATCTAGATGTCTTCAAGGGCCATAAACTGCAGACAGGATGTCTGCAGGAGGATGCTGCTTTGTGTCCGTTCCAGTTGTCATAGCACATTCCTGAGGTCCTTTCCAGAACTGAGTACAGCAGGTGGTCTGAGATGGTGGCCCTTTCCCTAAGAGAGAGCCTGTAAAGCTAAGTCTAGGCCTTCACAGTACCTCAAAAGTTTCTGCTGTCTGGGAAGAGAGAGGCAGAAGGGGACGGGACGCTTCAAATTCCTAAATTTCTACACTGTCAAGTCTGACGAGTTTACACTAACGACGGCATCCCACCAACTTCCTGAGAAGCCAAGGAACAAGCGCAAGCCTCCCTTTAGCGTGCTCTCCTTTCATCTCCATGAGCAGAGGCTGCTTCCCCAACACTTGCCCCTAAGACCCCACTGTGTGGACAGCTGCCTTCTTCGCCCCTCCGCAAATTAAAAGGATTTTAACGTGGGCGCTGCGTCTTCCTGCGGCCCTGTTCTGTTCCCCCAGGACGGCCTCTTCCCTTTGGCCCCAGCGGAGGAGAGAAAGCCCAGCCCTCCTGCACCACCTCTCCATCAGCCCTTCCGCAAAGGCCAAGAGAAAACGCCCCCGGGAGGGAGGCCTGCTTTCTCAGTGTTCTTCAGACACTGATTTTCTGCTTTCCTATTCTGATCCTGTTAAAACCCACCCTGGTCTGGCCTTGGGAATTACAGTAATAAAAATTAAAAAGCAAACGGGGTTACTTTTCAACTTTGGAAAATAGGTAGGATTTTTTTTTTCAAAATAAAAAAAAAAGAGGTAGAATCAAGAGTTAATAAAGCTGTGAGGATAGAGGGGGAGAAAAGAAATCCTACGTCAAAATAAAAAGGAAAGAGCCAGGCGGTTGTGGCGCACGCCTTTAATCCCAGCACTTGGGAGGCAGAGGCAGGCGGATCTCTGTGAGTTCAAGGCCAGCCTGGTCTCCAAAGCGAGTTCCAGGAAAGGAGCAAAGCTACACAGAGAAACCCTGTCTCGAAAAACCAAAAAAAAATAATTAATTAATTAATTAATTAATTAAAATAAAATAAAAAGGAAATCGTGACTACTACATGATCATTATGTTTTCTTAATTTTAATCTGTTTATTTTGGTTTAAGGCACCTGAAGTTTAAGTTTGTATTAGATATTTTTGTTTAGAATTCTGACAAATAGACATTGAGCTAAGATGAACTTGGTTTTTGAAAATATTTTACTTATTTTTATGAGTGTTGGCCTACATGTATGTATGTATTTGGGGGTGAGGGGTAGAGGAGGGCCCCACATGAGTGCCTGGTGTCCCCTGAAGGCCAGAAAAAGGTGTTCACTTCAATGGAACTAGAGTAACAGGAGTTTATGAGCTGCCCTGGGTGCTGAGGAAACAACCCTCTGCCCGAGTAGCAAGTGCTCTTAACCATGGAGTCATCTCTCCAGCACCAAGACGGCTTTCACATATATAATGTGTATATATATATATATATATATATATATATATATATACACATTATATATGTGTGCCAATTACATCACTTCCCCCTTGCCTTCCCTCCACCCAGCCCCTCCCAAGTCTCCTCCCTCCAACTCCTTCCATGTCCCCCCCTTAAATGGATGACCTCTTTGTCTTTGATTATTATTGTTACATATGAATGCATGTGTAAATATGCACAAATATATACATGTAACCTGCTGAGTCCACTTTTGTTGCCTGTGTGGACTTCAGGGCTGACCATATTGTACTAGGTAACCAATTAGGGGGACTTATCCCTGGGAGACGCTAATTCTCCCTCTCAGCCATCTTCAGCTGCCCATTGTTTCTCATGTAGAGGTGGATCCCTATGAGACTTTCCTCCTTCCATGTTAGCAAGTCTGTTGAAATGGCCACGTTTGGAGAGAGAGCCATTTCTAGGAGAGGCTGTTTCCTGGTATTCTGACTCATACAGTCTTTTTACCCCCTGATCCTCAGTGTTCCATGAGCCTTAGATGTAGGAGGTGATATATTTACCTGCAACTATACACAACACATATGAATGTGTGTGTGCGTAAGTTGTACCACTTAGTCTGACAATGCTCCCCAATAAAGCATCTGCATATGTATGTGAGTGCACATGTGTGTATCTATGTATATATGATCATGTAAGCTATCCCCACAACTACCACAAACTAACAACAACAACAAAAAGCCAGTGCCAAGCAGCATGAGAAACCTCCCTTCAATTGGTCACTCCGCCTAGTCCAAGTGACTCTCAGAACAATACAGGGTTCTGCTACTGCCCTTGGCAACCTCTCCGAGGTTGAAGATTAGCCCCTACTGCTGAAGACACTGCACACTTAGAACACAGGACCTGGATTATTAGTGCTGGATCTGACCTGAAAGCCTCTTTTATTTATTCCAGCTTCTGAGGTACCAGCGAATGCAGATTGCCGAGGGAGAAAAGCAATTAAACGGACATAACCAGCTCCAGCCTCAGATCCACAATTACCAGCATGGTGAGATATATGCATAAGGGTGCCCTAAGTCGCACTCACCTATAGGTAAAAACCAACAGCTGTCTAATTGGATTTAAGGTCCACTCACCAGGAGTGAAATCATGCCTGGTCCTGGACACCTGGCCAGCTTCCCAGGGCTGGGGAGGTCATGGGCCTCAGGAAAGAATCCAGTCCTGCCCCTCTGCTAAACAAGTCGCAGATTTGCTCAGGACATTCTACGTCTCATCCTTAAGTCCACAGCTTAGTAAATCTACCACTCCTCATCAAAGGCATTACTTCTTATACCAACCCCTTAATACAGTTTCTCCTGTTGTGGTCTTCCCCCGACCGTAAAATTATTCGGTTGCTACTTCATAAGTGTAATTTTGCTACTGTTATGAGTCATGGTCTAAACATCTGATATGTAGCTTATCTGATGTGACCCCTGTGAAAGGGTCATTGGACGCCCCCCCAACAAGCTGAGGGTCACTGGCCTAGACCAGTGGATCATGCCACCCTAAGCCCAGCAGGCAGGCCTGAGATGGCTTTCTTAAGGAAGATTGGCATTGAACGAAACTAAACAAGGAAACCAATAGAAGAATCATTTTCTCCGGATGAGCCCGGACCTTTTAGCCCTTCTGCCTCTGTCTTTTCCTCAGTGTACATTCACAGCGATGGCCTCCTCACTCACTCAGTGACAGCAGTTTTGTGTTTCATTTGAGTTAAAAAAAATTCCCCGGAAAACTAAAATAAGAATTACACTAAGGAAGACAAATACTAAATTTTAGTGTCATCATCACTCCTTACCAGAGACCATTAGAATTATCTTCTCTTTTTCCTTTGGTCCTTCAGAAGCTATGAAAGAAGCCGGGTGGTGGTGGTGCACGTCTTTAATCCCAGCACTTGGGAGGCAGAGGCAGGTGGATCTCTGTGAGTTCCAGGCCAGCCTAGTCTACAGAGCGAGATCCAGGAAGGCACCAAAGCTGCACAGAGAAACCCTGTCTCGGGGAAAAACAAAAAACAGAAGCTGTGAAAGAGTCTAAAGTCTTTATTCAAAGCCCAAGAAAAACTTCGGTCACAGTGTTTCCAGGCGCAGGAGGACCTGGGTTTGCTTCCCAGCTCCAAAAACAAAACTTTAGGGTTGGAGAGATGGCTCAGCAGTTAAGAGCACTGGCGGATCTTCCAGGGGACCTGGTTCAATTCCCAGCAACCACACGGTGGCTCATGACCATCTGTGACTCCAGTTCCAGGGAATCCTATGTCCTCTTCTGGCCACTATGGGCAGCAGACATGTACCTGGTACACAGAAAGACACGCAAATGCAAAGCACCTATATACAAACGAAAGAAAAAACACATTCACACTTACTGTCTTTCCTTCCTTCATTTTTTTGTTTGTTTGCCAGGCTTTGTAATCCATTTTCCACATGAAGGCATTTATCATGCACACATTATTTTCTAATGTGTTTAAGAAAATTGAATTATTTAGGAATTCAAAAATCCATAATGGCTCAACAATTGAAGATATTTTGTTAAAGAAACCAAGCAAAACATTACAGAACATGGGTCAAGCTATTCAAAACCTCCAATTAGTAAAAACTTTCAGCAATAATAAAAATTAATTCGATTGCCAAGCACAACAATTGTGTGCTTAGATTAAAGACCTCAACCAGGCTGCGGGTTGTATTTTTATTTTTTTTAATATATTTATTGTATTTTGTATATGAGTACTTGGCTTATGTGTACATGGTTTCATCATGTGTGTGCCTGGTACCCTCAGAGATCATAGAGGGCATCTGATCCCCTAGAACCAGAGTTACAGACAGTTGGGAGAATCCATGTGGTCCTGGGAACCAAATCCAAATCCTCCACCTGAACAAGTGCTCTTCCTCACAGAACTGCCTTTTTAGCCCTTGTGGGTATGATATTCCCTCTTTTCAGATATGCAAGGTACATCTTTCAAGTTCAGATACGTACTATGAACTAGAGTCTACCTAGACCTAAAGCCTACAATATGGACCATCATTTAATAGTCTCAGGCATATGTACACAAAAAAGCTTTGTCAAAATTGCAGAGGTTTCTCTTCTTAGTATAATTTATAACATTGTCTCAGTGAACGTTTCTATTGTTGTGGTAAAACACCATAAACAAAGCAACTTATTGTAGGCAGACCTTTTCTTTCCTGCCTGCCAGTTCCCAAATAACCGACACACGGAGACTCAATTATAAATGCTCGACCCATAGCTCAGGCTTATTACTAACTAGCTCTTAGAACTTATAAAGAATTGAATTTGTGGCTTACAGTTTCAGAGGGTTAGACTCCAGAACCATCATGGCAGGGAGCACAGCACCAGACAGGCAGACATGGTGCTGGAGCAGCAGCTAAGAACTCACATCCTACAACCAGGAATGATGCAAGCCTTGTGAAACCTCAAAACCCACCCTCAGGGAAAGACCTCCTGCCACAAGGTCACATCCCAGCATGCTTCCCAACTGGCCCCACTAACTGGGGTCCTAGTATTCAAATATATGAGTTGATAGATGAAGGCCATTCTCATTCAAACCACCCTATTAAGAGGGTCCAGAGATTTCTCAAAAAAAAAATGTTATTTTTGTTACTAATTTGTCATAGGCCCTAATTGGGCAGCATATCAATTCATAGGTTCTATACAATTAAAAAATATTTGAACCCATTATGGATTAATTAAAATATGATTTTTGTTATTTAGGCTGAGGCTAACTCCTAAAATAAATGTAACAGCTCTCTTTTAAAATATTTTCTCAAAATCAACTTCTGTTAAGTAAATCTTTATCTATAATATAGCTATTTCCTATTTTAATTCCAAATTCAAAAGAGAAGCAAGTAAGATTATTATGGTAGTTTGAATGCAATTGACCCCCATAAGTTCATAGGGAGTGGCATTATTAGGAGGTGTGGCCTTATTGAAGTAGGTGTGGCTTTGTTGGAGGAAGTATGTCACTGTGGGTGTGGACTTTGAGGTCTCCTATGCTCAAGATACCGCCCAGTGTCTCAGTTCACTTTCTGTTGGCTGTGGATCAAAGATGTAGAATTCTCAGCTCTTTCTCCAGCACCCTGTCTGCCTGCATGCCACCATGTCCCACCACAATGATAATGGACTGAACCTCTGAACTATAAACCACCCAATTAAATGTTTTCCTTCATAAGAGTTGCCATGGTCATAGTATCCCTTCACAGCAATAGTAACTCCAAGACAATCATCTTGACTACAATGCAACCCAGCATTGCTTTCCATGTTTACCACGTATCCACCTTCCCTAATGGTCCCCATTTTCCAAGCTTCTATGCCAGATCACCCTAATGTTTCTGCCAAAAGCCGGTATTTCACTTAGTTCCAATATTTTTTCTATTTAATCACAGAATACTATAAAAGCTATGGTAAGAATTCCATAGTTCATGAGTCTTTAGCCTTGGGTTCAACCATATCATGGCTCAGTCTTTCTTAGCTCTTATTAGCAGAGGCCACTGTATGTAAACAGAATCACACAGATTCTGCAGTGCAAGTCCAAACCTCAGACCATAAGCCCAAGTACACAAAACACCACTTTTTATATATTTATGTTTTTACACCTGTGTGATGGAAATGATATCTCAATACACTGAAAGAGTCAATGGTTTAAAAATCAATAAATAATTATAAAATGAGGACATGAAGTTGGGAAGCAGATGTGGTGGAGAGACCTGGAGGGAGTTGGAGGTAGTGAGGGTTTTATAAAAAAAATACATTGTATATATGTATGAATTTTTTAAAAAAATGAAATTTTTGAAAAGCTTTAAAAAATCATGCTGTCTTTCATACCTAACCTCATCTGTCACTCACTCTGTTGAGATGACTGAAAGGAGGAGGGGTGGCATTTCAAGGTCAGGTAGAAACCTGGTGCAAGGAAAATTCCCAGGAATCCACAAAGATGACCCCAGCTAAGATTCCTAGCAATAGCGGACATGTAGCCTGAACCGGCCATCTCCTGTGACCAGGCAAGACTTCCAGTGGAGGGCTTGGGACACCAATCTGGCCACATAACCTTCAACCTACAATCCATCCTGTCTACGGAATGTGCTGGGGTAAAAGTAGTACAGAGGTTGTGAAAGTGGACAACCAGTGACTGGTCCAGACTGAGACCAAGGTCACAAGAATGAGCACACCCCGATACTGCCTGGAGTGCCAGAACCCAGAGGTTCAATGGCCCAGGGACCCAGGATAGACTCAAACATGAACAGGACTAGAGAAAAAAAAATGTCAATGTAATGATGCCCAAGGATGCTCTGCTATATGCATAGATTGGCACCTAGTCCAATGGTCATCAGAGAGGCTTCATCCAGCAACTGATGGAAACTGATGCAGAGACCCACAGCCAAACATTAGGCACAGCTTGGGGAAGCCTGCTTAAAATGAGGAGGAAGGATTGCAGGAGCCAGAGGGGTCAAGGACACCATAAGAAAACTCACAGAATCAATTAACCTGGGCTCACAGGGGCTCACAGAGACTGAACCACCAACCAGGGAGCTTGCACGGGACTGAACCAGGCCCTCTGCGTATGTATTACAGTTGTGTAGCTTGGTCTTCTTGTGCAACTCCTAACAGTGGGAGGAGAGGGCTGTATCTGACTCTGTTGCTGGCTTTTGGGACCCTACTCCTCATACTGGGTTGCTTTGTCCAGCCTCAATACAAGGGGAGGTTGCTTAGTCTTTCTGCAACTTGATCTGCCATATTTCATTGATATCCATTCAAGGCCTGCTCTTTCCAGAATAGAAATGGAGGAGGGGTGGGGTTGGCAGGCAGTAGAATGGGAGGTCTGGGAGGAGAGAAGGGAGGAGAAACTGTGGTCAGGATGTAAAATAAATAAAAGATGATGGGTGGATGGATGATAGATAGATGAGAGATAAATAGATTGATAGATAGACAGATAGATAGATAGATAGATAGATAGATAGATAGATAGATAGATAGATAGATAGATAGATAGATAGAAGATAGTAGATA